AATAAATATATGGACTTTATTTTGCCTAAGCATCCACGTGAATATAATTTCACTACAACAGTGGAGAAATTGAAACAATTGTTTGGACTCCAAAAGTCGCAATTCAGCTTACGCTATAGCTGCTTACAGTTAACCAAACCACCAGATACCGACTATACTACGTACGCAGCCGAGGTTAATAAACACTGTGAAAATTTTAAATTGAATAGCCTGTCACTGGACCAGTTCAAGTGTTTAATGTTCGTATTGGGGCTGAAATCGGAAGCAGACTTCGAAATAAGAACCCGAATATTGACCAAACTGGACAAAGAAGCTGATACCATCAACTTGGAAAAACTTACAAACGAGTGTCAGCGTATTATTAATTTAAAATCCGACACATCGCTGGTAGAAAATAAATCACACGAAAATCAGGTGAATTGAGTACAAGCAAATAAGCTTAAGAACAATCACAAACCGAAAACACCATGCTGGTTTTGTGGAGCAATGCATTATGTGCGTGACTGCCCATACAAAAATTATAAATGCGAAGACTGTCACAACATAGGCCATAAAAAAGGTTATTGTAAAGCGAAAAATTCATCAAAATCAAAATACAATAACAACAACAAAAATAATAGCAACGGTAAAGCAAAAACATTTTCACAGCCACGATCCAACAGTATATACACAACGAACAGCATCACAGCTTCACAGCGTAAATATGTCCACGTTAAAATCAACAATGTGCGAATCAAATTGCAATTTGATACTGCATCGGACATAACTATCATTTCAAAATTTAATTTCGACAAATTAAATATTTTAAATACAATGGAAGTACAACCAGAATCTGCTAAAAGTGCAACTGGAAACTTACCATTGTACGCAAAATTTACATGTGATGTGCAGTTAAAAGACACAATTAGAACACTTACGTGCTTTGTTACAATAATCGATTTGAATGTATTCGGATTGGACTGGATAACTGCTTTTCGACTTAGCGATATGACGCTTAATGCTATTTGCAGCCAAATTTCAACAACAAAACAGGCAAGTAATGTTTCCATAAAGTCTTCAAATTGCAAATTTCTTCCGGAAAAATTATTTCCAGAACTTTTCGATAATGCTATGGGTCTTTGTAATAAAACTAAGGCACATTTAATTATTAAACCAAACTGTCAACCTGTTTTTCGATCTAAGCGCCCGGTAGCATACGCAGTTCAACATTTGGTTGAAGAAGAAATTAAGCGACTTCAAGATCTCGACATTATCGCACCCATCAATTACTCTGACTGGGCCGCACCAATAGTAGTTATCAAAAGGCCAAATGATAGCATTCGTATTTGCGCTGATTTTTCAACTGGTCTTAACGACGCGCTTGAATCTTACAAGTATCCACTACCGCTTCCAGAGGATATTTTTGCAAAAATTAGCAATGCAACAGTATTTAGTCATATAGACCTTTCGGACGCTTTTCTCCAAATCGAAGTTGATAGCAAATCGCAAGAACTTCTCACAATAAATACGCATCTAGGTTTATTCAAATACAACCGTATGGTATTTGGCGTCAAAACTTTTCCGGCAATTTTCCAACAAATTATGGATAAAATGCTTGCGGGCTTACATTGCGCAGCTGCTTACATTGACGATATCTTTGTCTCAGGTAGAAACCAACAAGAGCATGGCAACAACTTACATGAAGTTCTACAACGTTTTTATCAATACGGGTTTAAACTCAAGATCGCAAAATCCAATTTTTCAGTTCCTAAAATTGCTTACTTGGGATATATTGTCAGTAAAGACGGCATTCGCCCAGATCCAAAAAACATTGAAGCAATCAAGACAATGCCTGCGCCAACCAATCAATCCGAACTTAGATCACTCTTAGGTGCTATCAATTTTTATGGAAAATTCATAAATCACATGCGCAAATACCGCGGACCATTAGACGAACTACTTCAAAACAGCAAGCAGTGGCAATGGACGGAACTTCATCAACGCTATTTGGATGGTTTCAAGCAAATTTTGTCATCAGAGTTATTATTAGCGCATTACGATCCACTGAAAAACATAATTGTCGCTGCAGATGCATCTAACTATGGGCTCGGAGCTTGCATTTTTCATGAAGCTGACGATGAAAGTAATATGTCATGCGTTCAGATCACTAACACCCACAGAAAAACAATATAGCCAAATAGAAAAAGAAGCTCTTGCGCTTATTTTTGCGGTTACGAAATTTCACAGAATGGTTTTTGGGAGAAGATTCAAACTTCAAACAGATCATAAGCCTCTTCTAGCTATATTTGGTGATAAAACTGGAATTAAGGTGCATCAAGCAAATAGACTTCAACGTTGGGCAATTAAACTGATTGCATACGACTTCGAATTAAAGTTTATTTCAACTAACAGTTTTGGGTATGCAGACGTTTTATCACGACTCATACATAACACAATCAATCCTTCAGAAGACTATGTCATCGCTGCAGTAGAGTTTCAAATTGAAAGCAAACAAATTTTACATAACTCACTTGATAAGCTGCCGCTTACCAGCAAAATGATTACTTACGAACCAGCTAAGGACAAGGTTTTAGCTAAAATTCTCGAATATGTAACTGAAGGATGGCCATCAAACTGCAACATCAGTGAGTTAAAAGCTTACTTTAACCGAAAAAACGACATATGTATAGTTGACGGATGTTTAATGTTCGGACAACGCATTATTATACTTCAAATTTTCCGAAAGCGCATTCTTAAAGAAATTCACCGAGGTCATCAAGGCATAGGTCGTACTAAAGCCATCGCGCGGAACTACGTTTATTGGTCAAATATCGATTACGATATTGAAGCAATGGTGAAAAGTTGTTCAAATTGTGCCGCAGCAGGTAAAATGCCCACAAAAACAACTTAACATCCTTGGCCAAAACCTTCTGATTCTTGGGAACGGCTCCATATTGATTATGCAGGACCAATAGATTCATACTACTATTTGGTCGTAATCGATGCGTTCTCAAAATGGCCAGAAATTATACAAACAAAATCTATAACAGCAACTCAAACAATTTCCAGCTTGAAAGAAATTTTCGCTAGATTTGGGTTACCGAAGACAATAGTTTCAGACAATGGTACTCAATTTGTGAGTCACCAATTTCAAGAGTTTTTAGCGGAAAACGGCATTAGTCATATACGAAGCAGTCCGTACTATCCCATGTCAAATGGACAAGCCGAAAGGTTTGTGGATACTTTAAAGCGAGCACTCAAAAAGTTAAATGGGAAGGGGGTAACTGCTGCAAATCTTCAAATATTTCTACAAGTTTACCGATCAACTCCGAATAAGCAAAATGAGAACAGTAAATCGCCAGCTGAAGTTTTACTAAAAAGAAATATCTGTAGTAAACTTGACTTGATTAAAGATATCGCCAACGAAAAGTGTTTAGTTGATGCATTTGGCCTCTACGAAACAACACCTAAAGATGTGGTCGAAATAACTAACAAAAACATGGTTTCGACCCCAGCTCAATCTTTCAACGAAGTAACCGAGATTGCAATTCCTCAAACTGAGAAGCACAATGAGGCAGTTGTTCCGTATACCCGACCAAGGTGTACTAGACATCCTATTGACCGTTATAGACCCTAGAATCACCGCATTGGAGATTCAATCTCAAAAGGGGAGGTGTTGGCAATCCTGCCAAGGATGACAGACGACATATAAAGAAGAATTAACATTATAGTTTTGTTCATTTTTTCAACTTGTGAAATAATAATAACTAGGAGTTTTTTGTATTTGTGCAGAACCAAATAAGAAAAGAATTGAAAGATAACTGTTCATTTGACAAAAAAAGAAGCAAATGCACTGATCCTTATTAGTTGTCTAAATATTTATACACATTTTTTTCGCGTCAAAAGTATTTATTCTGATTAGCAAATTAGCATTTATTCTGAGATTTCCTTTGAGTTAATGCATTGTTAGTTTTTGTAACAGATTACACAAATTTAGAGATTTTAAAATGTCAGAAATTTTTCAGGAAAATGGTAAAAACCAAAAAATTATCAGTTGAATTTTATCTAAGTTCGGTATCTAAAATTTTTCTTTTTTTTTCTTTTAAAAACTTACATTTATTTATTGCATCCTATTTCATAATAAGACTAACAATAAGTTGTTAAATCTTATCTCTAATTACATAATATCACAAATTTTTATTTCAACTTTACATTGTATAAAATAAAATAAGTAAACCTTATATTACGAACATCACTTATATCAATGGATTTCATTAGAGTGAATGTTAGGTGGTTTATTAAGAAAACTTTTTCAGAATAATAAAATAATAAAAAAACATATTAAATTTTTATTATAATTCTACATATTCAGCCTGCTTACAATAAATTTGCAAGGCAAAAATGCTCTTGTATGACGTATGAATCGTTAGGGGTGACAGACTGTCATACACAACACGTATGCGAGAGCTGCTCACCAAAATTTTGGTGAGCACGCCAACATGTTGGTAAGAGGTGCTTTTCTCTCTCGTATGACATACCAGTATGATAGTCTGCACCGCGCTTAACACAGTTTGCAATTACTTTGACAAATTGGCACTTTTATTGATGCACACCTTTATTGATATTTGGAAACGCAAAGTAAAAATATTCAGTGTGCATTTAGTTCTATGTGCGGTTTGTTAATTTGTTTTGAATTTTTTAATACTTCTGTAAATATAAAACAATGTTGGGACATAAAGCATTAAAAATTGACGAGATTATGGATATTTTAAATTCTTCTGAGAACGATTGTGAAATTGTTACTGATGTTCGAAAATCAGAAAAAGTAAATGTAATATACATCCCTGCAGACGTTGATGAAGTAAGTGACAATGAGGCAATTGATGATGATGTTATTGAGGACAATGCTCCGCTTTCAGTGGATATTGCTGGCACAATGGAACTAGAATATGCGGTTGCCGAAGTTGAACTTCACGCTTTGCCAGACCAACAACAGAATGCAAAGGCACCTTCAAAAAAATTTATATCCTTGGCTCATTACAGTCCCGCAGTTTGGCGGAAGCGTCCTTTCGCGTATAATAATCAGCCGGAGAATGTTGAAGCTAAAACCGTTGAGAAAGTAGTAAGAACATTAGGTATGTATAACCATTTTCATAGACATAGTTGCATTTAGTGTTAAAGATTCTTTCTTCGTAGGTGGAAAATCGCCTTTAGAATTGTTTGAGTTTTTCTTTGATGAGAACATGAGTAATATGATAATCAATTTTAGCAATGAATATGCTTTACAAAACAATGCTTGCCTTGATCTTAAGCAATTTGAACTTAAGAGGTTTATTGGTATACTTTTTCTGAGTGGTTATCATTCACTTCCACAATGGAAACTTTATTGGTCGCTAAGTCCAGGTATGGAAGTGCAAATTGTTCGCAATGCATTACCTCGCAGTCGATTTGAGGCAATCAAGAGGTTTATTCACTTATCTGATAACACCATGCTAAATAAACAAGATAAATTTGCAAAAGTCCGGCCGTTCATTGACGCTAGCAATTACCGTTTTATGCAATTTGGTATTTGGTCTCATGACTTGTCAATTGATGAACAGATGTTACCATATTTTGGTAGACATTCATGTAAAATGTTTATCTGTGGAAAGCCAATTCGATTTGGCTTTAAAGCTTGGTGTTTGTGCTTATCAGCTGGTTACTTGTATCAAATCATTTTGTATGGAGGTGCCGCTACACCTCATGATAAAACTGTTGGACTTGGAGGCGACATTGTTCTAAAATTGTTGGAAAATGTTACTTCGCCATTAACTCATCGCATTTTTTTGATAACTATTTCACTTCATTTCATCTTATGTGTCTTCTAAGTGATCGTCACTTTTTTGCGAGTGGTAAATAAACATACTACTAATATAACAATAAAAACATTAAAGCTTGTTTTATTCAAAGGAACTGTCCGAGGAAATCGAATAGGAGGAGCGTAATTGCCAGATAGAATGAAAAAAGGTGAACATGCGGCACTATATGAACATAAAAAGGAACTTATTGTAGTGAGATGGAAGGATAATGCAAACGTCACTGTGCTTTCAAACCATTCCTTTATCAAACCGTTTTCAAAAGCAAAACGTTACGATCGAACTCAAAAAATGAATGTGGATGTCGACGTTCCACGACTTATAAAGGAATATAATTTGGGTATGGGAGGAGTGGACCTCGACAATGCATTAGCAAATTATTGTGTTGGAATTCGGGGAAAAAAATGGTGGTGGCCTCTTTTTACAAACACTTTATCCAACATGTTGGTCAACGCATGGAAATTGCATTGCTTGGTTGCAAAGTTTGAAAACACCACACCCTTGTCGCAATTACAATTTCGATCCCAAGTAGCTCGGGAACTCTTGTTGCCAGATAAACTTGCTGATACACAAAGTAGTGCTTGTAGAAGTAACACCAAATACTGTGAAAATACGGAAACTAAACATATTCTCAGTAAAAGAATAGATGGCACTCCACCAAGGCAATGCAAAGTATGTTCATCAAAAACGCCATATATTTGCAAAAAATGTGACATTAATTTACATCCAAAATGTTTCGAGAAATATCTAAAACATAAATAAATTTTCAATCATTAAATACTTTTTTTAAAAAAACGTCATTTGCTTTAACTAAATATAATTTTTACCAAAACTCATTTTTGTTCAGAAATACTGTACACATTGGCCCAAGTGGTCTACCATTATAGGTAGTCATAAAATTCAAACAAATATTTCTTAATTCGGTCTAAATTAACTAATGTTAAAAATTTGAACAAAAAATATTAACAGGATCTGGTACCGGGCCAAAATGGGTTAAGTAAGGGAATTTGTAGATCTCGGTGGATACTTTCATTCCTAATATACTATGTTGCACCAGTGATTGTTCTCAATATTTTTGACTGAGCTCTTTGGATAATATCAATATTTGAAGCACGATCATTTCGAAATAGCTGGATAGCGTTTTGACAAGAGAGATTGAAGTTGGTTTGAGTATGCACAGCATTTTTCGTCATAAAATTGCCATATCATCCGCAAACGTTATGGTGACGTCTGAACTACTTATTGGAATTTCAGATAAGTAAAGTGCATACAAGATTGGGCCAAGAACACTTCCTTGTGTAATATCAGCTTCTATTGGGAAATTATTAGAAGTATATGATGTACATTTAACTTTAAAGCTTCTATTATGAAGTTACGATTCTAAAACTGAGTGGACGTTTGCAGGTAATGAACACCATAGCTAATATATGAGATATGCTTGTTTGTTATATGCTTGTTTAACATCGAGGAATACGGCGGAATAATATTCACTGAGCTCAAATGCGTGTCTTATTTCATTCGTTATACAATTCACTTGCTTAATAGTTTCCCGTTTTCCCCTAAAACCAAACTGGTGAGAGGGTATTAAGTTTTGAACGTCAAGGAACGATTTCAGCTTTAAAAGTAGTGCTCCTTCAAAGACTTTAGAATGCGATGGCAGTGAGCTTATTGGCCTGTATGAAGAAGCAAGCCTGAGATGTTTACCGGATTTATGAATCATAATAATCATGGATGTTTCCTCTCTGTTGGATAAAATTTAATAATAGCATTAAAAAGTTTTTTGATAAAATTTATGGCCAAAAGGGGTAAGTTTTTATCATGATGGGTGAGACGTTATTATATTCCGGAACTTTTTTGCAATTTAACTTGTTTATGATTATTTGAACAAGACCATTGGCCGTGATAATCATGTTAATAGATGGTGCATGTAGTTGCTGAGTAGGAAAGGTTTGGTTGGAACACCTCTTTAAGGTAATCAGCAAAAACGATAGATTTTTCTTCATCATTTTGCGCCCAGTTTCCTATAGAGGTTCTTATTGGAGAATCGGATTCTATTGGAGAATTTATACCTTTGCTAGCATTCAATAAGGATGAAAGGTTTTTGCCATTTGGACATAGGTTTTGAATATAATTATATTGTCCGACTTTGATTTCCCTGCTTAATGCAGATCGAAGTCTCCTTTGGGCTTTCTTGAGTAAGTTTTTCGCTAAAGGGGACCTAGATTTTTGCCATCCACGTCTAATCTATATTTTTGTGAAACTAAGCTTCTATGTTACTATTTGAACGTACTTTATTGGATGTGTAAATTTTACTGTCTTTAATGTGAAGTAATTTACTTTTTATAAGTAAGCCAGTTTGCTCTAGGACTTGTAAGGCTATAGGAACAGTAATATAACTGAGGACCATCAAGTAAGCAAAATGTAACTGGAGAATGGTCAGAAGACCAATCGCTCAAATGTGCTTTCTCATCAGGGTGAATGGTTTTGTAGAATAAATAACCGATAATACAGAATTTTTTGTTCGATAGATGTGTTTCTGAGCAAAGCATTTCATCCACACTTTCACGGGACAGTTTGTGTTGGCTTAAGCCGTTTACATTCCATGTACAAATTTTTAAAGTACTCATTTATTAGACAAGAACATTTGCATTAATTGGCTTTGCATTTTAACTATCTCGTTAAAAGTAGTTTGCATGACTGAAATAAACTGAGTTAAGCTCTGGATGAGAGTGGAGATCATCATTTCCAAACTATTGCTTTGTACTGGAGGGGCTTGTTGCTTGTCAGATTTAACGGCATTAGTATATGAAACATCTGGTGTAACAGGCTGAGAACATAAAGGTTGGGGCACTTCAACTAATTTGATGGGGGTACTTTTTGTAGAATTACGCAAATCTTCTTTCTGGAGAGCTAAACCGTGCTTCAGTTTTTTATAAATAGGAATGCCTGTAAGCAAGTGTCCTAAAAAAATCGGTTTCTTTTTTCAAAAAACTACATTTTTCCAGTCGAATCTTTAGTTTGGGTTCCTTTAGTTTTTGAAATATTTTCCTCAAGTTTACTATATGTTCCGTCGATGAAGTACTAAATATTAAGATATCGTCAAGGTATACTACGCAAATTCAAAATGCAGTTTTTTTCCTATAATTTTCATTCATCAAGATTTGATGAAAGCCTTTAGCAAGATCAATAGAAGAAAAGTATTGTCTCTTGCAAAGTTTGTTCATAATTTCGTCTATATTAGGAATTGGGAATTTATCGTTCACCGTAGCTTCACTTGATCTACGGTAATCAACAACGATTCACCATTTGTGCACTCTAGACTTGTCTACCTTTTTTGGTATCACCCAAAAAGGACTATTATAAGCTGAATTCAGTAGCGAGGCGTCAGCTTTTTGGCAAGGTGTTCACAATTTAATCAAAACAGAATTCCAACTATAACGTATTCCCCCTACTTCTAAGTTTTGTCCCTTCCACAAGCAAATAGCGTACAAGACCAATAAAACAATTTATTTAAATGTTCGCAGCCTGTGATCCACTGGTTTTTATTTACCATAAAGCTATAGCTGTAGGAAAACGACGACTTACCATAGATTTCGACATTTTTACAACAGGTATCAAATTCTTCATATCTGGAGTTGGTTTATTCATTTTATGAATTAAAATCTTTTTTCAGAAGATCGTTTAAAAAATAACATTGAATCAAATTTTTAATCACACATTTATTCATTTCTAAATATTATTTTTCACTTCAAATTTCTTTAATCTCTTTCTTTACTTTTACCATTTTCTAGTATAAAATTGCAATAATGACTTTGTTTTGATTTATTTCCAACCTCTATATAAGAGTAAGAAACTCTCATGCATTCATTTACTCTTTTACTTTGTATTTACAATGCCCGGTTCAGTTTTTATACTGAACCATTTCCCCATATAAAACAGCAACCGTGACTTTGATTGTATTTGCACGCTTTGTATAAACTTTTGGTTCAGTTTAGTGGAATGATCCTCTCGTCAAATGTAAAGCGATTTTCGCTCAGTTATTTCTTTTCTCTTTTGTAATTACTTTGCATAACATTGGAAGTGCACTTTTTTTATTGAACTGCTTGCACGCATTAATTTAAGAGTTAAGATTATTTTACGTACATATATTTGTTTGTATGTTTTGTGTTGTGTATTCAATATTGAACATAGTCCCAATGTGAATGTTATTTCATTTGCATGCTTTGTAAGCAACGCGGTGCAGTTTTAATTTTGAACCTTAGTATATTTTAAGAGGAATGTGTTTTCTCTTTTATTAATTGTAAGTAATGTTGGGTGTAACTAACACATGTGTGATTTTGTTTGTATTCTACGTTTTGTGTTTATGTTAATCTGTTTGGAAAAGCTATTATAAAAAATGTTAAGTAGCAATATAGCGAGATTATTTGCCTAATAAAAAAAAATCTAAAAAGGAAGCTTTGTTAAGGTGTTCAGTGAACACTCTGAACCATTCGACGCCTCGCCTCTGGCTGAATTACTTTCTTTTATTACATTAGGTCTAACATTTCTTTGATCTGGATTTCGATGTCCTGAGTTTGGGGGCATCTATAAATTTTTAAATATATTGGTCGGTCATTTGCTGTTATTATTTCGTGCCTTATTTCATGAGTACAAGAAAGTTTGTCCCCTTCTTTGAAAAACAGTTCGTTAAAGTCTTGAAATAAATCTGTTATCGATTGCATCTCGTCCCGATTTAAGTCATTTAGGTCTAAATCTCTAACATCACTAAATTCAAGTACACTAATTTCGTGATATTTATACGGGCTAAAGTTCTCGAAATGTATGGTGCTTCCTAATATGTTAATAGATTTATTCTCTACATCTATCTTACCTATTAGAGGGATCAGAAAATTTTGGCCTATTATTTCTTCGTAATTTTGGCTATTAAAGTTAATTACTTTTCATGAGAGGGTACCTAAAATATTAAATTCTACAGGTATTGGAGTGGTGATTTTAAAACTTACTTGATTCATTCCATTTATGGTTGTACACCAGAGAGGATTTGAGAGTTTTTCTTCTGTAAAATGTTTTTCTAGAATGTTTGGTTTTATTATACTAGTATCAAAACCAGTATCTACTTGGCACTTAATTTTTTTGTTACCAATCGTCACAGTTACTATGGGTAATTTGCAAATTCAGGCATTTGGGAAAAATTTAAGTCCTCCTGTACATTGCCAACATCCATAGGTTGGGGTCCTGTTTTATTTTGACATAATCTAGTGTTTTGTGTGTCAACACTCATGTGGAAATTTCTAGTCTGAATTGAGTTATCGGTTTATTCTGACTGTGTCGCCAAAAATTATTGTTATAATTGCGTGGTTGTTGGGTATAAACGGTGTTTGGTCTCTTTGTTGTGGCGGTTGACGTCTATCTGTGTAATTTAATTTTCGATCATTTTGGTGTGGTTGTTGTCATTTATCTGTGTAATTTTAGTTTTAATTATTTTGGTGTAGTTGTTATAATATTTTGACTGTGATGATTTTTACAGTCTATAATTAAAGTGAATAGTTCGTGGGTCATCTAGTGCTTTAATTTGAGTATACTTTCTTATAACGTCATTAAATGTACTATTTTGGTCAAGGTATGTTCTTAACGGTATATCAATTTTTTCTATTAAAATATTTACTAAGTTACATACCTCTTTGGTTTATATTATCGAATGTGTAAATTTTATTAAGCTATGATTTAGCATTTTCAAAGTAGTAAAATAAATCTCTTAAACC